GGTATAGTAGGTTTACTTTATTTATTCTTTTCTTTGCTATCTTTGTAAAAACTATTAAGAGCTAAAATACATGTTTGAATATAGTAATAACGCATCATGTAGAAAGTTATAGGCTCATCAGTCCTTAATATTAAAATGTTCCATTCATACTTGGACATTGGATGTCCATGCTTGCTTGACACACATATGCATGCACATATGCTTCACAATGCATCATTTATGCTTGGACTATAAGTGTCCCACATGTGATTGATTATACTTTTGTGCATATAGGACGTAGAGGATTTCATTCAAGTTTGGACTATAAATGGACCTTGCTTGAATTAGAGAATCAAAAGTGAAGACATGGCACTATGTGTTGATTCATGCTTGGACATTTTTATGTCCACGCTTGAATGACAATGAAACGGAGCAACAACAACAATAAATGGGAGAAGAAATAGTCATCCGTTCACATCAGTTGCAACAATTGCAACACTACCAACAACTCAAATAAAAAAAACGTTTTCTAGCTATCAGTTTAAGCATTAGAGTAGTATAAATAGGAGTCCTCATGTCCTTGTAAGCATCACAACTTGAAGCAATAACCAAGAGTATTTTTCTTCCATTCGGTTTCTTACCAGACAAGGTAATGTGGAAAAATGTTTTGGTTAAGCTTTTGTGGTCTGATTCAAGCTTGGATATTATTTTTTCCCATACTTGATTGATTTTTAGTGTCAGCTTGAGGCATTTCTAAGGAGTAATCCACACTTGGATTTTGGAAAATCCATGCTTGAATGAATGAACCACTTATAACCTTCAAGCCTGACTTGGTTCAGATGTTGCCCAAGCGTGATTCTCATCATAGAGAGGCAAGGTGCCTCTTTACACTCATCCACACTTGGTACTTAAATTACCCATGTATGATTGAACTTATAGAGAAGCTTGGAGCCTTTATACACATCACTCATACTTGGTACCCTGAGTAGCCCATACTTAACTCATTGAAGTGATTGGTGAGTTAAAGAGAAGATAGCTTATCCATATATGAATCGTGCTTATCTATACTTGAATGAGTATTCTGATAGCAGTTAATGCATTTTGCAAGAAAAGTGCCTTCTCTATCATAAATCACTTTAGTATGTCTTAAACGGCTATAATCTACCTCCAAAGGATTCCAACGGTCCGAAAAACATTATTCTAAATATAAATCTTATTTAAGTGAGTGGGTAACACATTAAAAAAGAATTAAGAGTCAGGCATTCATTTCTTACCTATTAGTCTATATTCACGTGAAAAAGAGCTCTCAACATGTTCATAGGCATTAAATATAATATCTACTCTTAGAGAGATTTTTATTGAGTGCCTAAATTGTTTCTTATCATATATGTGAGAGAGAATACATTAGGAAGAAATCAACCTCTATGGCAAAAGAGATTCAAGTAAAGCTAAGAATATGGGCCAAGCCTATCAGGCTAGCCTATTTAAGCTCATTTAATATGAGAGTTAAGCTTACAATTAGGACCCTTCAAATGTAATTTAGGTTTAAATTGATTGGCCCTAATGGACTGGAAAATAAATGGGCTAGCTCAAATGGGCCAAGTACTAACCCATTAAGCCCACGTAACCTTTTTTTTTTGTATTCAAATGTTTTTTGTATTCAAATGATATACTTTTGACAAACTCTTGGACTTGAAAAAAATTTAAGTATGTGTTGCGCTCTGTAAGTGAACGGATCATAGCAAGTAATATAGAGTGAGTAGAGTATCGTTCTCACAGAGATTTGTATTAAAAATATGGTTAAAAAAAAGACATAACAAATTCAATTAAGTTGAACAAAATCAAAGTGTGATTGGTGTTTAAAATATAAATTAAATGACTGAAAAAGTATGAAAATAAAAAAATAATTTAAGACTTTTTGAAAGTAATTAAGTCTAGGATAATTTATTCCCCTTTATACTTCAAGAACACTCAATTAACTCCCAATATATTTTTCTCTTAATGATGAATTATGCTAGTCAAGGATACTAAATTACCCAGAAGTGCTCTCTCAAGTCTCCAAGTAGGTGTTTAGTTTAATTAATCTCTTAATTAACTAATTAAACTCCAATTTTCCTTGTAAATTCTATGTGACTATGTGAGGTTAATGAGTGTATCTCTACCTCATTAGCAAAACCATCCATTCAACTTACAAACTTCAAGTTCTCACACAATTTAACTCAAGTTTTATACTCAATCTAGCTCTCTCAAACATTAATCAAGTAAACCCAACAATCTAATTGATGGCCAATCAACTAGAAGCATTATGTATGGAGTAAAATCAACATAATCACATCATTAATCACAAATACAAAGGGGGAATGAGTATTTAATCCATACAAAGGGTTCAAAATAATTCTAGAATCAAGGATTTAGCTACAAATGTTCATAAAACCCATAAGAAAATACGAATATATCAGCATAACCATTGAACAAAAGGAAAGGAAGGAGAATGGAGAAGAAAAACCAAGATATGAAACCAAAATCTCTTCCAATCTTCAAATCCAACCTCAATCTGCACTGAAATCCATGTCCTAGCACACCTAAAGTTCCAAAATACTCCTAAGAAGTCCAAAATGGTGGCCAAAGTCAAAAATGAGTTGTATATACTCCAAAATCCTAATTTTATTAACTAAATAAAATATTTCATTTTGTTGTCACCTCAAAAGTTGCAACACAAAGTTGCAACTTTAGAGTGACTTTAGAAATTTTGCACTGTTTTCACTAGTAATGAAACTTAGCCTTTTATGCATTTGATTTTTTCATCCAAAAGCCTTCCAAATGCATCAACAAAAGTCCATAAATGCATCCAACCAAACTTTAAACTAAAATATTAATAAATTAGTTTCAAAAATACTAAAATAGAGTCGTAGTTTGAATTTTCAGAATAATATGCATATTTTTCTAACTTGAGTATTCAAAATATGTACAATTGTGCCAAAATATATTAAAAATCCAAGGAAAACGTGCTCAAATGATATGAAATTCTAGAGGTTAATAGCATGATTTATCTGTACATGTTAGCCCATGTTTGTAAGGAAGAAAAAATATTAAAAAGATAACGACTAATCCTAAATCCCCTAATCTTAACTCTTTAAATTACACTCCACCAATTTTGTCCTTCTACGATTCATCTCTTATTCATGTGAGTTGTGCTCATGTCTCATCATTCCTCTTTATCGACAGCAACTCCTAAGTCCTAGTAGTGCTCATCCATCTACAACAGTGCTTAGCCAAGCTCAAAGCCTCAAATGATAACGTCTCTCAAGTCTTCCTCTTGCTCGAACAAAACCATAGTCTAATATGCTTTTCATTGTTCTTCCCTCATTCTTAGTTTTTCTCTTTGTCAAACTTGTGTCCATGGTTTATCTCGTTTGGTTGTTCCTCTACTTGTTGTGATGTTGTCATTTTGTTTGTGTTTATAGTTTATTTAGTTTTTTTGTTTTGATTGATGTCATTTTGTTTATTGATATGGTTGTAATCTTGATCTACATACTGATGTGAGATTTTTGAGTTGTGGAATGAAATGAAGTATTACTATTTAGTTTGATAAAAAATTTAATAGAAAACAATAAAAATAGATAATAAAGCTTAAAGCCCGCAAGGCTAGCCCTAAGCTTGCTATCTTAAGGTTAGGCTCTATAATTCAGTACCTTAAAAGGAAAATGGGCTTCTTGAGCCAAAACTTTTAAATACAAGCCCGTCAAGGGTTGTCCTTTTTTTCCAGCTATAGATTCAAGGGTGATTTTTCTCTTGATTGCAGAGAGGATTTTCTCTATGAGATTTAAGAGTGCTCACTATCTTAAAGTGAAGGGTTAAAGAGATTCACTAGTGTAGTGAGATACCTTATAAATGGCTTACAAGTGTCTGTGAAACTTATGGTATGTACTGTGGTGGCAAGTACCCGTTAAAACTTGTGGATATAATAAAAAATCTCAAGTGTGAGTTTGGGGATTGAATGTAAGCTAAATGCTTGGGCTGAACCAGAATAAATCTCTATACAATATTTATATCCCCAAATTTTTATTTTTAACTCATTTTCTTTATGTACTCTCTCTTGGTACTTGTGTTCTAACATATTTAAATCTTTGAAGTACTTATTTTTACAATTGAATTGATTTGCTCTCTGTTTTGAAAAGTATTTTGTAAATTTGTTTATACTTATTATTTGTTTAACATCAAATAGATCTATTACAAATAATAATAATAATAATAATAATAATAATAATAATAATAATAATAACATCAAATAGATACAAATAATCATATTTGACAATTATTTTAAAATAATCATCAAATAAGTGAATTACAGAAAGAGTATAAACAAAACATGTGATTCATACTTGACATTTATCTTGCAATAGTAGTCAAATAAAGTCGCCCTTAATGGTTATTAATCATCAAATAAAAGGTCATTTATATGACACCTATATGTTTAATGGTTAAAACCTATCAAATAAGACCAAAAATAATTATCAACTATCGCCTTTTTTATAACAGTGTACTTGCAGGTTCCAATTTGTGGGATTATAACGGATTAAATCTCATAAAAAAAAATTCAAAGTACTACTAAATATAAGCTCGAGTGAAAAAAAAAATAAACTAGAATAAATTATAATTTACATTCTTTCGTATCCAATCCCTTATATTTCCAGCAGCTTTTAATTATGCTTTTTTAGTGTTCCCAAGTTGTATTCAAACCCTTTGCTGTGTCACACTTAATTGCTATTTAGAAAATGATTTCAAACTTCATTTGCTTACTTTGATTGTGAAAAATTATTTTAGCATTATTGTGAAGGTGTCTCATAATTGAATTAAACTCATTCCTACATTCCTAAAAATTCTGAAAGATTAGAAAATTTGATAACCACATAATTTACCCTTCTAGGGTTTATTTTTGTTTCTAACACATTATCCATAAAATATTCTCAATGTGACATTTTAATCATTAACTAATGCACATAAAAATGTCTAAATCCATCTTCACTCGGCAAGGGCCTCAAAACATTATAATCATCAATATTACTAGCGAATCAAATATAGCAGTTTCTCTGTTCAACTACCCACCAAGATTTTTCTGGGTAGACTTCTTGAATTTTCTCGAGAAAAAAGTCAAGGCATATCTACACTCATTCCTGATGAATAGGAGCAGCAATGAAAAAGAAAGACAAATTGAAAAATGCTGGAGGCTGATAACAACTTCGGCTCCAATGTATTGGAATTGTCTCCAGAACTAAAAGATCCGAGTTCAAATCCCAATCGAAGCCAGGACTAACCAAAATTACAACGAGACTCACACTGATGACGATGGGGCAATCAATGTGCTACACTACTATTTCTGCATTTCTCTTATTATAAAAATTGGAGAAGAAGAATTATTCCTTTTCCGCTGAGATGCAATGAAGGAACTCATCACCTTATCCTACTTATTATTTAAAAGAGCAGGACATGGGATTCACTTCCCCAAGGAAAAAGAAGGAAGCCAAACATGTCTCTGGGTTTGTGTTCGTCACCTCTTTGAACAAGAGAATGACGTGGGCAAATGCTTCAGGCTCGAAATGTCAAACAACTCGATGAATCTCTGGTCCGAAACTCTCGCCTTGGCAGCTGCAAATCTCTGGTATTCATCAAACACTGATGTTAGGCACCACTTTTGCAGCTTTCTCAAGCATCCTACAAGACAACCTGTTCGGTGCTGCACATGGTAAGAGAGGATGAATTTACAGAACATTGTTAGGATGTGAGTTAACAGGAAGTTATCTAAAGATAAAGATGAAAATCCACTGAAAATCCTCACCTTTCCCCGCTTACAGTGAATTAAAACTGGATGGTTTTTGACATCTGCATTATTGAAGGCCAAAAGTTAATCCTAGCTTATTTAGTTAACAAAACTGAGCAATTCCTAGACTTATGTAGACCAGGAAAATTATGAATGGACATGTAAGCATGACAGATGTCAGTTTCACTGAAAATGAGTTTCTAACTTGCTTAGTAGTCCCTTCATATTTGCCTAGCCCACAGTCTAGAGAAGAATCTTTCAATCAGTCTGTGGAGTGTGAAAGCAATGGTGATCGCTAGCAGTACCAAGGACAACTTTCAGTGCTTCACGGATTGTGTCCTCTGGGATGTTCACAAAAGGCTCCTGGAAGCATAATTTTCAACATTAGTACATGAACTAGATATTAATTAACGTTAGCATGACCTATCTATGTCAGCATAATATATAACTCCCACTTAAGATCCCTTTTCCATGTAAAACTTATTGGCAAAAAAGATGCATAATCAGGGATCTAATTTAAAGATATTTTCCAGCAATTTCACAACCAACCATGATATGATATAGATTCAATGAATTACTTTAGGTATCTAAAAGAAGTAAATACTAATTAATCACGCACCATTCACCCGTGGAGCTAAGACAAGTACATACAGACCACTTATGCATTTAAATTTACCTGATGTTCATCTTTTTTTAATGAAAGAATCAGAAATATCCAGATGCATAAGTAGCAAATAATAATAATAATAATAAAGGAGGGTTTTTCCCCTTGAGAACTGTTTCAAGCAAATTGTTATGTCTATCTTACCAATTAATATTACTAAAGAGTGAATGCAGAATTTAAGCATCCAAAAAGGTTGATGGATGAAGGATCCTCCAATCACATTAAGCATCCAGTTCATGATTATTATTTATTCGTAATTGGGTTTAACTAACATGAATTGAAGTAGATTTTTGGCTTAGGCCAAAAAAATACTTATTTGGCTGTTAAAGGTTATGCTTGTAATCCAGAAAAGTTATAGTCAACAAGTTCCCAGAATTTTTGCAAGTTTTCTGGATACTAACTAAGGTCCTTTAATCAGTAATCACATTATAGCCATATAAACATTGTACCCAGTTCATGTCAACAAATCAATTCAAAAACATTTTTTTTGTTTTTTTGTTTTTTTTTTTTTTGGGGTGGGGAATTTAGGGCTTACACTTTAGGACACCAAATTAATTTTGTAATCTTTTAAGCACGACATGTATGTGTCACTATAAATATCACAGAAATAGAGACTATTCTCCCTTAATCCACCAAAAATATCCTCAATGTAAGTTAACTAACTAAATGACATTTAAGTTCCAACCAATGGAACAAACACTGCCTTCACAGCGTAGTGATTCAGTAAATTATGTCATATACCAACCGTTCATCTTCTTTACCTTCTAGCCTTTCCCGTGGTTGGTCATGATTTTTGTGTTAATTTGTTTTTTCCTCTCATTTTCTTCGCACTAACATTGTATCATCAGATGGAATGGTTGTACTTCTTATAGAGAATCACTTTCCCACATATCCATTAATGAACTCAGTATAAAGGGAGCAAGCATATGGTTCACAAAAACAAAAACAAAAACAAAAACAAAAAAACTGACGATTTTAGATTCCCAATGAAAAGACTTCCGCTGCCAACTTGGATTTCATCTACCATGATTGTCATATTCCAAAATTTTAATAACTTCGTCGTGCACAAATGGATGAAGAGTATATACAAGACAGATATGTGCTCAAATCATAATTGACCTAACAACCGGCAATAATGATGCCCAAAAAGCTGTGATTGAATAATTTAGCGAAAAGGGGCGGCAAAAGTTTCTTAATGATAGTAACTTTTGATTAGTTAACAACTTAGGTAATGGCTGATTTTACCTCAGGCAAAAATCATCAAAAAAAAAAAAAAAAACAAAGCAAACAAAAAAAACAAACAGAGAAAAAAGAAAGAAAGAAAGAAAGAGACAGGTCTACCAGATCAGATATGAGATATCCATTCATCTTGGTACAAGTTAACCAAAATAAAAAGTGATGTATAAAACAAAATAATCAGACCCAAAATAGACCACCCAGACAAAGGAAAACAAGAGACAAGTTCAAAACGAAGACTAAGAGACATATACCTTACGACCTTCGATCCCAAATTGATAAAGCTTAATCCCACTTGATTTCAGGAACTCCATGTTAGTCTCCGGGTACGGCTCAGGACATAGATATCTAAAAGATACCCATTCAAACAAATTCAGCTCACCAGCAAAGATTTAAAACAATAAATAGATTCTTCAAAGCTCCTGTAGAAAATTCAAGTTCTGCCCTTAAACAGCCATAAAACGCTAGGAAACGTAATTCAAAATTTGAAAGGAGGAAATCACACGGAAATATTAATCTTGATCTTCCAAGTCACAATTGAGATCTTTTGATCATTGGAATGCTTGTCTCTTATCTCATTTCTATCCAAAGTTAAATGTCAATCGTAAACCTCTGTTGTCTGAAATTAAATCTGATTCAATAGCTTCAATAATCGACAATAAAGAACAAATAATGTCTCAATGTTCAATCATTATTTTAATAAAAAATATATATAAAAGAACGAATCGAAATTCCAATAATTAATAAGGTGTTTGTCCACATACATGATGGAGCGAAGGCCGAGGGTTTGCAGGAAGGAGAAATTGGCGGGCTCAGGGAAGCCAGACCTGAAAATGCCGTTATCCACCATAGCGAAATTGAGAGGAGGAACAAAGAATTCTTCGCCGTCGTCTATGTTGTCACAGTCATCGGCGGCGTCGGAGGGGATGGGCGAAGAGAGGTGGTCGGCAACACCCAATTGGATCTTCCTACACATCTGGGCGGTCTCGTTCTGCTTGTTCTGTTTCTGCTGCTGATGCTGAAGATGATGATTGTGGTTAAGCTGAACCTGGAGTTCCTCAACTTTCATATCAATTCAAAATTTAACGGAAGAAGAAAAGAATGGAGATTTGTGGAAGGAGGAAGAAGAATCAAGAGAGACACTGGATTACAGGAAGGAATTCAAAATTACATATAAAAAGAAAATAGGTGGGGGAGAGAGAGAGAGAGATTGGAATCGAAGAGGATATTCCTTTAGCTGCTTCGGAAGTAGCTAGTCGTACAACGCAGGAGGCTTTTGAGGAGTTGAAAATTGAAAAAAGGGTTTGATTTACATTAAGAAGAATATAATTGGATGGAGAGAGAGAGAGTAAAAGTGAGTGAATTGAGAGGCGTGGATGATGGTGGAGACCATTGAAGCCTTGAAGGAAAAAGGAGAGCTATATATAGAGATTTTTGAGAGGGACGTCTCACAGGAAAGAAATGGGAAGAGGGAAAGCCGTGTTTGGTTGTGGATTTATTAAAAAAAAAATTAAATCTTCTAAAATTGAGATACTCATTTGATCTTATTTATAAATTATTTTTAATATGTTTCACTAATACAAAAAAAATTTTAAAACTCATTAATTCTGGTTTAAGATTTAATAAGTTTTTAACTTTATCTCTATTAAATATACACAATTTAATAATATATTTTCTTTCTTCAACATTCGATAAAAAGTAAAAAAAAAATTATTACAAAAATTGAATGACATGACTTATTTAAAAATAAGATTAAAATTTTTTTTTCTCTCCACTCTATAAATAAAACTAGAGGAAATATGAGTAAAATTTGCCCTTTTAAGTATTTTTTATCATTATATTATTTTTTATAAAATATAAAATATTCTCTCTCTTTCTCTAAAAAAGTAAATTTCATTAAAATTCACATAGCCTAGCTTCAAAAGATTTAAATTTTTTTCACATCTCATATATATATTTTTATTGAAGGCAAACTTTGTCCGATCATTAAATATGGACAACCTTTCTTACAAAAATTCAAACTTTAGTTTGAAGGAATTAATCCCTTTAATTAAATCAAATCCCATTGGTCCAAACAACGGATTCCTACGTGCCAAGAGAAGAATTAAAAAAATTAGAAAGAGAAGAAAACAAATGTCTCCCGAAGTTTTTTATCATTTTACAGCTATTATTGGAAGACAAAGAATATTAAGGTGATTTATTACCAAAATAAACTTATCAACTAGCCCTTGTACTTTTGATCAAAAAAAAAAAAAAATCTTGCCCTTGTACTTTTGACTGAAAGGGACACACATGCGCACCCCGCACGCGTGTGTATATTGCTTGAGTATTTTATTTTAGTGTTAAAGACAATTTCAAACCAATAAAATTATATCTAGCAAAAGGAATTAATTCCTTATGATATAATAAATTAAGATTTCATTCTCTATTAAAAGAGTCATTTACATTTAGTCCCTGGAGCATCTAAAATTATAAATTCATTTTTTATGCATTGTTTTTTTTTAACTTTTAAAAACAACACAATATCACTTCTATTGTTAATAGAAATTAATTTTACTCATTAATTGACTAGATAATTATAGAAAATATCTCAAAATTATAGAAAATAACGTAGAATATAATTATTCAACAATATCCATATGTAATGATTATATTAAAAAATATAATGTTAAGTACTCCTACTTCATAAAATTTGTAAAATAACTTATAAAAAGAAATATGAAAAGCTTCTTAAAAAGGACTGAAAAATCAGAGCAAAGAGTATATATTTATATTAATAGAGATATTTTGTCAACAAATTTATATTTATAATAATTATCATAGCACATTTTGGTTATATTTATAATTTATAATTATCATTGCTATTTGAGGTTCGAGTGGGTGAAGACAATTCAGTGATTAGATTTTACTCGAACTGAAAATATAACTCAATTTCTCTGCAAGATTTTTTTTTTTTGGTGACTCAAAACATAGTAAAAACTAAAGTGGGTAACAGAACATTGAAATATGATAATTTAAAGCTTACATGTAGCCAACTTTTTGCCAACCTTATTTTTCCCAAATTCAATTTTTCCCAATCTTAATTTTACATAAAAGCATGTTTGAGGGTCAATTCTACCCAAACTTCAATTTTAGCCAACATAACATTTTTTTTTTGGATGAAAAAATCAAACAAATATTCTTAATGGTCTGAATGGAATGATTTTGTCACGTTGATTTCTTGTCCTAAAAAAATAATGCAATGACAAATTCCGGAAAACAATTTGGTTAAATAATTTAGAAATAATTTATGTTTATTATTTTAATTTTGTAGAAATTTTTAAAATTCTTAACTTATAAGCAAAGTTTCTTTTACCTTTGTGGTATAATATAAAATTCATGATGGATGATAATTAGTTTTTTTTTTAAGAAAGAATAATAGTATCAATCATGTCCTTGACAATTTTTTTTAAAAAATGAGTTATAAATATTAATTCAAACAATTTAAAATTTAAATATTTTGATTACAAATAAAATATTTAAATTTTAAATATAATTTTCAGTGTAACTCATATTTTTGTTTGTAATTGTCTTAGTTTATTTTTGTAATTATTCTTTAAAAAAATTCAAGAATATAAATATCATTAATTCATTCTTTTAAAACTTAACTATCATTCTCCCTAAAATTTTATAACAAATTACATTGTTAATGAATTAAGGATTAATAAGTATTCTGGACCTTGAAATATTACTCCAAAAGCACCTTGAATCATGAGCTTCTAAAATATGCAAAATAGACTTTAAATTTCTAAATTCAAAGCAAATTATCCCCATCTTTAACTTATAGTTAACGTTGACTTTATGGGATTCAATCAAATGCTGATATGGTAGTCCCTTACTTATATATCATCTATTAATGAGCATTATAGATTTTAAATTATTGCACAAGTAGCATTACAAAATTTGAACATTGAAATTTAGAGCAAATTACTCCCACTGTTTATGTGAATAATGTTAACTATTATGCAAATCAAATTAACTTCAACGTAGTTCGTCACAGCAAACAACTCAAGATTTTGTGAAATGCTGCTGTTTGCCCTCTTTTTTTTTTGCAATATTTTTTAAATGATTGGTATCTCATACTTTCATATATTCTATAATTCTGATTTAATCTCATTTTGAATAATACTTATTTATTTAATAGCAGAGGATTCCATTTGAAAGAGGTTTAAATATCAGAGGATTTTATAGATGATGAATGCGAAAGTCGACGATTCCATCAACAGATTTTAAACCCAAATTAACCAGTTAATTAAAATCCTCTAATATTTAAACTTCTTTTCAAATGAGATTCCTAATTTTTTACCATTAAATAAATAAGCATTATTTAAAATAAGACTAAATCAAAGTTATAGAATTTATTAAAGCATGAAATACTAATAGTTTGGGAAATGTTACAAAAAAAGGGGGCAAAAAATATCATTTTACAAAATTATGGGTTGTTCACCATGGCAAACATATGCTGAGGTTAATTTGGTTTACATAACAGTCAATATTTTGCACATGAATAATAGAAGTAATTTACTCTGAATTTTAAAGTTTAAAATACAAGATGTTACTTGAATAATAGTTTAAAGTTTGTAATAATCATTAAAAAATGACATATCAATAAAAGACTGTCATATTAAAATTTGATTGAGCCTCACAAAGTCAACGTTAATAGCAATTATCTATAGATTAACGATAGGGTGTAATTTTCTCTGGATTTAGAAATGCTCATTAACCCATCAATTAATGAGTATAATTAATAGTTTGTTGTGTTAATATTTTGACTAAAATTGCGAAGCACCTTCAAAATGTCTTCTTCCATTGTACTCTTTCTTTATATTAGGCTGGTCAAACTTCTTTTTCTCTTTTTCGTTAGGCTTGGTCAAAGTACATTAGTTGAGATGGCTACCTTCATGATCGGTTTAACCCACCCAAGTTCTATCTTTTTCTAATCTCAATTTAATTAAAAAAACATTCAGCTGGTAAAAATATCTATTTTTATTGCGTTGATTTTTTACTAAAGATAATTATAATTAAAACATAATTAGATATTAAATATAAATATATCATCCAATGAAAATTTAAACTATAATTTGTCACATTGCAGGAGCTTAATCCTTTTAAATAGAACTAATTTTCATTAATAAAATTATTATTTTTCTAATTTTTCCATAGACTTGAGAATATGAATCGATTACGTTCAAATGGATTGATTTATTATGAATGGGGTAAAAAAAAACATTAGTTTGATCTAACTTATTATTTACAAATTATAAATAATTGACCCATTTTTTAAATTTGGTACATATACAAGGGAAAACGTATGCTTCCTCCTGTCCCTTATGCAGGTTACATTTTAGAATATTTTCTTACTTTTTCATATAAGTTACTTTCTCTTAGTTTTTTTTTTATGTAATTTTTGATGTACTATTCAAAACTACTCTCAGCAAATTCTAAAAAGAAATGCAACATTTTAATTAAAAAATTTTTCTACACATCAAATCAATTTTTTTAAAAAAAAATAGGACAAAATAAAAAGCGTTCTATTTTTAATACATTTTTATTATTCTAACTAATTTACCTTGATTTTGATGAGTTTAATAAAAGTGACTTACTCCATTCAATTTAAAATATAAATATTTTTATTTAACAAATATTAATTCAAAATAAAAGTAATATAGTACATGTAAAAAATTATTTCCATTTTATTTTTTATATTTATTAATTTAGATATTTATGTAAATATATTTTTTACTTATTATAAAATATATTGGCAATTAAAAATAAAAATAAAAATGTATATTTTTATGAGAGTAAAAACTTTGTTGATGCATAAATTTTTTTTTAAAATTATTATTTTTTTGGATTGAAGGAATAGTGGGCATTTGTGGATGCTAACTAAAATAATTAAATTTTGAATTGGTTTATTTGTCAAAAGGTAAAGTTAAAAAAGAATAAAGGGTTTTGCCCTCTGATCAGACTTAAGAGTGTGTGGCGCGTGGAAACGAACATGTCAGTCCTTTTTTTTCTTTTGTTCAATCATCAATAGATTCTCGATGGTCCCAAAAGAAAAAAATCAATAGATTCTCCGAGTTGATTGAATAGACAGAATATTTAAATCAGTAGTTTTTTTTTTTTTTTTTAACTTTTCCCCCTTCAATAAAATAAGTTAAGGCATAATTTTACTTTCAATCTCCCTATTATCAGGAGAGTAATATTATTTTTAAACTATTTATTATAATAATATTATTTTTAAATTAATTAAATTTAAATAATATTATCCTCACTGTTTAAATATCTGTTAGTTGTAATTAGTAAGATTTACTTTTAATGAGTTAAAGTATAATTTT